TTTACATTGCTGAATTTGAATTTAGACAATTCACTTAGTTACTGTTCTAGTAAATAAAATTTTCCAGAATCTATTTTTTTTCCACAGAATTATTATGGTGCACAATATGGTCATTCAGCCCACTGTGCTTGTACTGACACTATTACCTGGTGCCTTCTCCCCTTATCTTTCCATAACCACTACAATCCAAAATACCATTCAACCTCCTCTTGAATGCCTCAGTTGAAGCTTACTCCACCACATTTCCAGGCAGTGCATTCCATACCCTAACAACTCGTTGCGAATAATCTTTTTTCTGACATCATACTTGTTTTCTTTACACATCACTTTGATTCTATTTGCTCTGCTTCTTGTTTCTTTTACAAGTAAAATAGCTTCTCCCTGTCTATGCTGTTCATCTCACTCAGGATTTTGAAAACCTCAATCAGATCTCCTCTCAGCCAACTTCTCACCTGGGGAACAATCCCAACTTCTTCAATCTGCTGAAAGTTCTGATGAAGAGTCACTAGATTCAAAATGTTAACTCTGCTTTCTTCCCACAGATGCTGCCAGATCTGCTGAGTTTCACCAGTAATTTCTGTTTTTGCTTCTTTAATCTATCCTCATATAGGTAGTTTCTCATACCTGGAAGTATTCTTGCAAATCGCCTTTGCACTCTCTCCAATGTGGTCACGTCTTTTCAATACTGTGACACCCACAATACTACAGATGAAGCTTAAAAAGTGTTTGTACAAGTTCAAAATCATTTCCTTGCTCTGCACTCTATGCCTCTATCAATAGAGTGAAGAATACTATTCCTTATTTCCTGCTCTTTCAATGACCTGTGCATATATACAGATAGGTATATCTGTATATACCTATACACTCCTGTACTTTCTTTAGAATGGTATCCCCTACTTTGTCATCTGCAAATTTGGAAATTGTCCCCTGCACACCGAGATCCAGATTATTTATATATATTAGGAAAAGTAAGGGTCCCGATACTCCATCAGTAACCTTCCTCCTCCCCGAACAAAATCCATTGACCATTACTCTCTGTTTTCTATCACTCAGCCAATCTTGTATCCATGTCCCTTTTCTACAGTGATCTACAAACCTCCTCACAAATCTAATGAGAGGCACTGTATCAAATGCCTCCTGGCAATCCACATGTGTACCATGTCAAAAGCTTTATCCTCATTAACCCTTGCCATGACCATTTCAAAAAACTCCAGCAAGTTTGTTAAATATCCCCTTTAGAAATCCATGTTGACTGTTTGTAATCAACCCACCTTTTTGTAGGTGACTGATTCTATCACAAATAACCTGTCCAAACATTTCCCCACTACCAAAGTTAAGCAAACTGGTCTGTCATTGCTGGGATTACCCTTATTCTGAACAAGGCCATATCGTTGGCAATTCTCCAGTCTGCTGGCACCTCCCCAGAATCCAGGGAAGACTGAAATATTAGGGCCAGTGCCTCTGCAATTTCTACCCTCACTTCCTTCAAAACCTTGGATGCATCTCATCAGTTCTGCTGTGTTAACTTTAAGGGCCAAGAATCTATCCATGACATCTTCCTTATTAATTTTTATTCCTTCTAGTGACAGAGTTTCCTCCTCTGTCACCATGGTGTGGGCAGCGTCCTCCTCTTTCATAAAAGCAGATGCAAATCCATGCCCCCTGCCTCCATCTATAAATCCCCTTTTTGATCTCTGATGGACCTTACCCCTCCCTTAAGCACTCTCTAACTGCTTATATGCCTGAATGCATGTTTAACTGCATGATCTATCAGTAGACTTTTGTGGCATTGTCAGTTTTATAACAAATTAGGAGCAGTTTTGGGCTGTAGGCACTAGATTGTATTGACCCAAATTTACCTTTTAGTGGCCTACGGTAAATTGAAATTATGATCTCAGGTGAAAGGCCAGTATTTAAACTAGACATCTTTCCAAAGGCAATTGAAACTAAATTGAGGATAAGGTCATTACAACATTTATTACTTAACCATAAATATAAACAGTATAACTGACAGGTTAGCACATAGCACACTAACTATACAAAGTAACAAGAACTGTGTATGCAGTACCCTATTTGCATTTATGCAGTTGCACAATTGTCAATTTCAGCAGTGCATATATTTTATTTAACTATTAACCTGGAATTAAACAAGATGTTAAATCCAGGCCCCACATGGCCCATCAGGTAGATGTAAAAGAATCCATGGCACAAAACAGTAAGAGTGTTATTCTGGTTGGTTAGCTAACATTTACACTTCAAATAACATTAAAAAAAAACTCCTTTATAAATTATCTCATTACTTCTTGTGGACTGTACTAAAGCACAATTTAGTTTTTGCCCTTCCCTACATGAAGACAGTTGGAAGATTGTATGTTAATGCAAGATATTTAGAATTAGAATAAGGTTCATCGCCATGTGTACTCAAGTTACAAAATTAATTACTTTGGGCTAAAATCATTAATTAAAATAATTAAAGTGAGTCTATTTATTTTAATTGCGTCAGAACTTACCATTCACGATGCAAATAATTTAATGTCACTGAAAACGAATCTAGACTTCTGAAAGACTGCACATTCAGGACACTGTCTAGCATTCATTGGCCATGCTAGGTAGCCCCATAGTGTTCAGGATACTGCAGGTTAGGTGGGTTAGCTATGTCAAATGCATGGTTGTGGGGATAAGGTAGGGGATATTCTTTGGAGGATCAGCGCAGACTCCATGAGCTGAATGGCCTCTTTCTGCACTGTAAGGATTCTATGATTCTATTACCATTTTTCATAAATATTAATTTATGTAAATAGTCTTCTCTCAGACAACATTCGTTACTTCAGTAACAAAGGACAGATAATGTGCAAAATGTTACAAAGCTGTCATCTAATGTTACATTTACATAATAAAACGTAATGAATGTTACTAAATAGACATTCCTGACCCTCCTCCGACTTCTGTGCAGAGCCCTGTTCACACTATTGCCCCTCCTGTGGTTTGGGTATAACCCTCATGTGCAAATTTGGTGGCTGGTAGCAATTAGGTGAAAAAAAATCAACCAATCACACAGCACAAAGACAGGACATTCAGTCCTTTGTGCCTACACTAGATCATTGATAGATCCATTCAATAAATCCGACTCCTCTGCTATTTCCCCTTAGATTCAAATATTTTGAAAGTACATAAGTAAGTCCATTTAAATTATTATTCGAATTTCTTGCACCATGATTTTAGGCAGTGCTTTCCAGATCGCCAAAAATTCACTGAGCAAAAAAAAGTCTTTTTAATTTTTTTTGTCAATTTTGTCAAACCTGTCTTTTCTGGGTATCTTCTGGGTATTTACACAACTAGTGAAAAGTTTATCACTATATACTCCATCAAAACTCTATGATTTTAAATACCTAAAAGTTTCCTCCAGTGAACAATCCCAACTTCTTCAATCTCTCAACATGAGTGAAGCAGCTCATCCTTGGTTATAATTGTAATAGATCACTTCTCAATCCTGTTCAGGTCACATCTTTGTGTAGAGCTGGATGAACACGAAATCCCGAAACGTCAGCCTTCCTGCTCCTATGATGCTGCTTGGCCTGCTGTGTTCATCCAGCTCTACACCTTGTTATCTCAGATTCTCCAGCATCTGCAGTTCCTACTATCCCAGGTCACATCTTTATTGGTTCTCAGAAATGAACACAATACTAAAGAGCAGACCCAAACAGTGACTTCTAAAAGCATAACCATTACTTGCTTTCTTTTATATTCCATGTTTCTATTAATAAAGCCAAGGATCCCATAAATCTTCCACAATCTTACAAGTTTTTTAAATGCTTTTAAAAGTTTTTTAAATCAACATCCTGCCACCAAAAAATTGCTTATGCAAATCTTGAGATTTCCATTCTTGTATCTTGTGAAAAATTGCACCATTTAGTTTATATTGCATTGCCTCATTCTTCCATGTCAGATACATCACTTCACACTCTTCTGCAGTAAATTTCAATTGCCTTGTATGTGTAATGACACTATCTCTTTAATCTCATAGGTTTCAATTTTGGAATCGAGTCTAGTAATTTTAACAAGATGATCAGAAAATTAATTTTAAAATGAGAGCATATTTTCTGCCACCTATGGTGTGCTGCATTATTTGACTATTCTTCGTATGTGACAGAAAGCTAAGGACCCTATCTGTCTTCTGTTGTTTCCGTGAAATCAAAGATCCGATGGCACTCCCCTGCCCAACATCCCACTCCCAACCAAAAGAAAACTGGCTGTCTACCCGGCATGTGGACCAATTAGCTGCCAGATGTGTTTTGCAGTGCACTCTGCAGACACATCCGTTTGGGCATTCTGTCGACAACGGAGGAAAGACCAAAACTACGTAGGATGTTTTCAAGTTACGTGTACTGAAAACCCTAAAGTTAACTGTTGCGTGTAAATCTTTTATAGTAACGGATCAACAGGAAGCTAAGATAGAAGTGAGAACGTTCGTAGCACTGCGCTCCTTTAATACGTTCAAAGGAAAAAAAGGACAGTACGCTCCTCGCTGCCAGGTTGAGTGATCAGCGGGTTGCTGTGCCTGGTTGCCCGTGGGATTGGCGAAGGAAAGCTGGGCCCTTAGCAGCTCGCTGTTACTCAGGTTCACGGGGGACTGCGAGCTTGAGCTCTGGGCCACTGCAATGCTTATTGTGACATCATGAACAAATGTAGCTGGCTCCTGGAAGACCAATCGCTGCTCTGGAATGTGCAGTAACATTGTGAAGCGCGGGGAGGCCCATTCACAAAACTCCATTCATTTCCCAGGTCCCATACAATCCAGTCAGAAACCGGCACTGCCCCTTCCATACATAAATAGAGAAGAGGAAAGCCTCCCCGGTCCCTTTGTGGGAGCTCGGGCCTGCACAACACAAGCAGCGCAGTTGCTTCACACTCTACCCCGCCGGTTTATTTCCGAGCGCTGCACAAAATCCTCCAAATTCAACTCGGGTGAAAGAATTTAGTCACCGCCCCTCTCCACATACCTTTCCCGGCTGCACTGTTCCCTCCGCTTAACTTTTTTTTCCTCTCCAATTCTCTCTCACACCCTCGCTCTGTTTTCAGATTCTTTCATGATGGCCGCTACCCACAAAGCCCTGAGATGGCAGCTGCGCATGCGTTGCTCTGGTTCCCTGTCCCTTCTAAGTAGAGGCTTTTCCCGGGCGCTGTGAGCTCTGGGAAATACTTCCTCCATTACAACATTCTAATGCGGTATGCAACAGCCTTTTCTGAGAATATCTTTTATTTAACTTCAGCAGTTATAATTAAACATATAGGATTTGTTAGCGGTGGTCAATATGACGAGGGTTAAATACAGAAAATGTAGGAGAAACTCGGAAAGTCTAGCAACATTCTGTGGGGAGAGTTATGTTTGAAGTCCAGTATGACTTCTTCAGAACCAATTCCTCAGCTTCTGAAGGGAAAAGCAAAATTGTCTGTTAAAGCATCAAACGGACAAAGAATTTGGCTGGCACTGTTGCCTCACAGCCCTGGGGATGAGATTCAGGGTGAGCTTACAATTGGATACAAAATTGGCTTAACAGCAGGAGACGGAGTGGTGGTGGAGGGTTGTTTTTTGGGCTATCAGTGGTGTTACACAGGGATCGGTACTGGGTCCACTTTTGTTTGTCATTTATGTAAATGACTTAGATAAGAATATAGAAGGCATGTTTAGTAAGTTTACAATGCCGCCAAAATTGGTAGTATAGTGGCAGATGAAGTTTAATTTGGATAAATGTAAGTTATTGCATTTTTGTAAAACAACCAAGGGCAGCTCTTATGCAATTAAAACTAGGGCCTTAGATAATGTTGAAGAACAGAGACCTAGGGGTTCAGATTCAAAATTCTTTGAAGTTTGCATCAAATGTAGGCAGGATGGTTAAGCAGGTATTTAGCACTCTTGTTTCATTGGTCAGGCCTCCTCTATTCCTACACAGGTGAGGACATCACTGGCTAAGCAGCATTTATTGCCCATCCCTAATTGCCCAGAGGGCAGTTAAGAGTCAACCACATTGCTGTGGGTCTGGAGTCACATGTAGGCCCGACCAGGTAAGGATGGCAGTTTCCTTCCCTAAAGGACATTAGTGAACCAGATAGGTTTTTCCTGACAATTGACAATGGATTCATGGTCATTGTTAGACTCTTAATTCCAGATATTTATTGAATTCAAATTCCACCATCCTGCCGTGGTGGAATTTGAACTCTGGTCATTCTCTCAACCCAGAACATTATCTGGGTCTCTGGATTAACAGTCCAGCAATAGTACCACTAGGCCATCCCCTCCCCATGAACCTTTAAGTATAAGAGTTGGGACATCATGTTGAGGTAGTACAGGACATTGGTGAGGACTCTTCTGGAGTACCAAATGCAGTTCTGGTCACTCTGTTATGGGAAAGAGATTATGAAGCTGGAGAGGATTCAGTAAAGATTTACCAGGATGTTGCCAGAAATGGAGAGTTTCAGTTATAAGGAGAGGCTGGATAGACTGGGACTTTTTCGCTGGAGTGTAAAAGGTTGAGGGGTGACGGGTGGAAATCTAAACTAAACATAAATTATTGGTGAACCTTAACAGATTTGGCAGCATCTGTGAATGCAGAAATAGAGTAAGCATTTTGAGTCCAGTACAACACTTCCTTAAAACAGAAATGGCCAGAGAAACTTAGCAGGTCCGGCAACATCTGCGGAGAGAAAGCAGAATTAATGTTTCAGGTCCAATTACCTTTCTTCAGTGCCATTTCCTCATGTTGTGATTGCTTCCTTTCCAACCTACCTTAAATCTATGCCTTCTCCTTTGTGATCCCTACCTGAGTGCAAACAATTTTTCCCATTCTACTCTATACAGTCCCCTCACAATATCAAATACCACTATTATGTCTCTTCTCAAACTTCTCTTCTCCAAGGAAAGCAGTCTCAACTTGTCCAATCACACTCTCCTCGTCTATAGAACTATTCTCTTTTGATCAAATAGGGAGTCAAGAGTTATGTGGTTGCAGGCAGGAAAGTGGAGTTAAGGCCTCAATTAGATCAGGCATGATCTTGCTTTGGTTCACAATTTGGTCCATAAGCAAGCTACAGGACTTTGTCAGCTAGACTGTTACCTTGCTGCTTGTGTTCAGAACTTAGAAAGAAGGGAAACCTATGGTCAGGTCTTGCAGCAATGAGATAGAAATGCAGGATGTTATATTTCAGCATTTACATAAGAACAAGTGTATTTCACTTTCCCCTAAGCAATAGGGGATTCAATCATAAGGGGAAAATATAGAAGTTTATGTAGCTACAAATGAGATTTCAAGATGGTAAGTTGCCTCCTGCATGCTGGAGTGGGAGGGCAAACAGCCAGTAGTCCTGGTAAATGTTGGGTCCAACAACATAGATACAAAAAGGGATGGGGTCCTAAAAGTAGAATATAGTGTGTTAGGAAGAAAGTTAAAAAGTAGAACCTTAAAGATCATGATCTTGGGAATGCTACCAATGTCACATGCTAGTTGGAGTGGAAACAGCAAAATATAGCAGATGAATATGTGGCTTGAGAGATGCTGCGAAATGGGGGGTTTCAGGTTCCTGAGATATTGAAACCTATTATGGAGGAGATGGGATAAATAAGATTGGATAGTTTGCACCTGGGCAGGACTGGAATTGATGTCCTTGGGAAAGTATATGCTGGTGTGTTTGTGGAGGTTTAAATGAACATGGCAGGGGGAATGAGAAGCTATACAATGAGATAGAAGAGAGAGAAACAAAGGGAATGGGATAAAAGAAAAATGATAGGCAGAGAATTCCAAGGCAAGAATCAAACAGGCCCACAGTGCTAAATATGCTAATAGGACTGAGAATATTAAAAAGACAAGCCTTAAGACCTTGTGTTTTAAAATCCAGAGTATTCACAATAAAGTGGATGTATTAGTTGCTCAAATAGATATAAACAGGTACAATGTAATTGGGATTACAGAAACATGGCTGCAGAGTAACCAGGAATGGAAAATTATTTCCCATTGTGTCCTTTCTTTTTGCCCTTGTTTCCCTCTCTTTTTTTGCAGGGAACATATAAAGTGATTATAAAAGCTTCTATAGTTTGTGAAGAGAAAAAAATAGTGAAGACAAATTCAGCCATTACAAGGTAAGAAACAGGGAACATTATAATGGAAATAAAACAATGGTAGACCAATTAAATACGTATTTTCATTCTGTATTCACAAAGGAGCACATAAGTAATATTCCTAAAATGTTCAACAGAGCATCTAGTAAGAGTGAGGAACTGAAGGAAATCTTTAGTAAGAAGGAAAAGATGTTGGGGAAATTGATGGGATTAAAGGCCGAAAATAACCTACATCTCAAAATACTTAAAGCTCTAGAAATAATGGATGAATTGGTGGTCATCTTTCAAGACTGTCTAGACTCTGGAACAGTTTCCATGGATTGGAGGGTACTTAATGTAACTTCACTATTTAAACAAGGAGGTAGAGAGAAAACAGGAATTATAGACCAGTTAGTCTGACATCAGTAGTAGAGAAATTGCTCAAACTCATTATAAAATATTTAGGAGCAGAGCACTTGGAAAACAGTAATTGTTTGACTGATTGATTGATTGATTGATTGATTGATCATCATGTGTAACAAAGTGCAGTGAAAAGCTTTGTTTATGAGTAGTACAGGCAGATCATAGTAAGTAAGGATGTACAGATCAAAAGAGTTAAAGGCATACAGGTTACATTGCACAGGGCATGTGTGAGGTGATATCAAAGCTAGCAAGATCAGTTTTATTTGAGGCTAAAGAGTCCATTCATCAGTCTAATAATGGCTGGGAAGAAGCTGCTCATGCATGTGTTCAGTCTTCTGAATCTTCTGCTTGATGGAGGAGGTTGTAGGAGATCATTACCAGGGTGCAATGGGTCTTTGATGATGTTGGCAGCCTTTCTGCAGCAGCGAGATATATAAATGGAGTCCACAGCTTCTGTGATGGTCTGAGCTGTGCACACCACCTTCTGTGGTTTCTTAAGGTCTTGGGCAGGGGAGTTGCCACACCAGGCCATTATGAACCTGAACAGTATGCTTTCAAAGATGCATCTGTAGAAGTTGGTGAGGGCCCTTATAGACATATCAACTTTCCTGAGCCGTGTCAGGAAGAAGAGGCATTGTTGTGCCTTCTTGATTGTTGCATCTAAATGGAAGTCCAGGACAGGTTGTCGGTTGTCATCACTGCAAGGAACCTATCATTCTCCACCTTCTCAACCTTAGTTCCATTGATGTAGATGGGAGTGTGTTCTCCTCCTTTCTTTCTGAATTCAATGATCTGTTCTTTAGTTTTGCCGATGTTGAGAGAGAGGTTGTTTGGAGTCACATATTGGTCAGATCAGGGAAAGACAGTAGAATTCCTTTCCTAAAGGATAATAGCGAACCAGTTTTTTTTTTTAATGACAGTGGTTACATGGCTGCCATTAGGATAGCTTTAATTTCAAATCTTGTTTTTATATATTCAAGTTTCAGATTTTTCTGTGGTGGGATTCAAACCCGGCTCCCTAGAACATTAGCCTCAAGCTCTTCAATACTGGTCTAGTAATATTAACTACTATACTTCCACTATACTTTATAAGTCTCCATGCTTTGCAGAAGAAAGATCAGTAAGTGAAATTGCCTTTGACTGTATATTCCTTTGAAATCTGTTTAAATAAAGTTATTTAATAACAATAGTTCAGAAGAAGATTCACAGCTATGAAATGTTAAGTTTGTTTCTCTCTCCACAGATCCTCTCTGAGTTGCTTAGTATTTCCAGTATTTTTCTTTTTTATTTCAGATTTCCAAAATCCTCATTATTTTGATTCTGTTAACAGTGTACGTTTTGTTTGAATTTGCAGTCTTCTAACTCAGAAGCAAAGGTTATATCAATTGAGGAAAGCTGACACCAGATTTTCTGAAGAAGGATCTAGACCCGAAACGTCAGCTTTCCTGCTCCTCTGATGCTGCTTGGCCTGCTGTGTTCATCCAGCACTACACCTTGTTGTACCAGACACTAGCTTCTCAAACACATTCCTGAATATTGGTATTTATCAGAAATTAACACATTGACCTCTAGCTAATATTTTTAGTGTCATTGATGTC